CTATCCCTAATTACGAGTTCATACGATTCCTAGCATTCCTAATAATTAGTTCTTTTAGTGCAGGAGCTTAACGGCAACCAATATACTATTGGGAGAAATTCCCCGGATCTAGACTTCCCCGTACGTTCCCGTATCGACAAAATCAATAATCATGCATTGAATGAGTTAAACAAAGCAAGCATTGAGCAAAGAGGAAAAACCCTAACTAATGATCAAAGAAAGCACAGGTCTTAAATATAAGATGTAAAAACAAATTCCATATATGAGAGTTTCACAAGACTACATTGATTCCCCAACAATAATACAAGGTTTAGTTCACCATATTCATGGTGAAACTAGATGAATAATAATGAAAGAATGAAAGATAAAACCCTAGAAAGGTGAAGAGATAGCCTGAGCATCCAATATCCTCCTTCAAAGGGGTGGAAGAGAGAGTGTTTGCTTCATTTCTGCCAAAGATACAAACCCTAGGACGTCCTAAAGCTTATATACTATTCTAAAATTACAGAAAATTTAGGCCCAAGCCCATAAGTGTGCCGCTCAGCGGTAAAGTACCGCTCAGCGGTAAGTGCGTGAGTTAGTTTCTTCCCCTTAGCGGCCATTTTGCCCCTCAGCGGATCCCCCGTGAGCTTTTGAGTGCCGCTCAGCGATAAACTGCCGCTGAGCGGCTGTTGCGGCTTCTCCTTTTGCACTTTTTGATGTCTTTTCTGATTTCATCTCTCTCCTTCTTCACTTCTTTCACCAAATTCACCTTTAAACCTGCACAAAAATACTGAAATCAAGCATAAACCTATCCAGCTCTCTTATTTCTGAAAATATGAATAAAAGCATGATTTCAAGCTAGTTTCTAAGTGTTAAATGTTGCTTTTAGTATCAATTTCAAGCATGAAAATAACAGTTTTTCAACTGTTATCACCCATACACATTTTCCTTCTTTTCTTCTATATTTAACCAGATTAGTTTCTTACCAAATTGTTTTGTTTTGTTTCTGTTCAATTGGACATAGAGTTAAAGAGTGATATCTAAAGATACTTGTATGTAATCTAGATTAAATATTTATATACCAATCATGTGAAAGTATAGTTGGTGGCAAATGTGAATCCTAACCAACATTTGAGTGATGAAAGAAGAAAGAATGTACCCTTTAAAAAATAGAAAAGCAAAATGAAAGGTATATCATCATGATTGGCATGACGCCATAAGCATCATCATAGAAGCGAAACATAAAATCTTTTAGGCTACTAACCGGCTGCCTTCCATGCTTACACATGCATGATTGTTGTGTCAAAGACAAGAGGGGCACGTCCCCCCACTCTCTCTCTCTCCCTTTTCTTTTTAATTTATTTTATTAATGTTTTTTTTCATCCTTTGAGTCTATCTCTAACTCTCTGCTCTTCCTTTCTGTTCAGTTTTTTTCCTCTATAAATTAACACCCTTTGTTCCCTTTCTCCCTCACTTCCTCATCCCTAAACTCACCCTTCCAATTAAAGGAACTGAACTATTGTACAAAGGCCTTACAACAACTAAAATTGCTAACTTAGGTCCTAAAATAATTAAGGCACGTTGGAAATAACTCAATTAGCAAAAAGACATTGGTTCTTAGAAACTAAGCAACTGAAATTGGTCCTTACAACAACTGGAACACTGGTCTGAACAATCAGACCACCAAGCACTTGGATTACGAACCTTATAGCAACACATGTATACTTTAAACACTTCACAACAACAGCATAATAACTAGGCACTGGATTAAAGCATAATAATAAGGGAACTACTGAAAGTTTCTCTTATACCAAAACAAATCACCAAAACTTATTCCAAGCACGAAACAAAATCAACAGGAATCAAAAATAACTTGCCAGCAATATTCTAGTACACAGAATGCCATATAAGAATTCAACAGAAAACGTGGAACGTACTAACCTGCCTGGTCTCCCCATTGTGCTCACAGTCTCAACCCAAAATCCCAGTATAAGCCAAACAATTCACATTATCACATGATGCATATAAGGTGCCAAAGCAGAAATATCCACAGTGCAAACAAGTTCACGCATATTGGTAAGAAAAGGGCAACACTCAATTAGATGGACACATTGCACACAACTAGGGAAGAACAAGGCAATCAATTTATTCAAGTACCGTTCTAAAACAGAGAACTTACCTCGCACTCCAGAACACCCAATTCAATGGAAGCCAAGCCACACCGCGAGCTCTCAACCCAACAGCCAACCTTTGGCTTCACTGCAATGACCTCCTGACGCTAATCACCACGAATCACCACCCCACTCGCCGCACAAGCCTGACGCGCACAACCACGAACCACCACCCCACCCGCAACACCCACAACGATACGACGAACCCTAGCCACACAAAGCTATCAGACAGAACGGACAGGGAGAGGGATAGGGAGCGAATGAACGAAACCAAGTGAAAGGGAAGGCACATGGAGTGAATGGGAAGGTCGATGGGAATCTAGGGCCAAAATCGGAGCTCTTACCAGCACAGTGGAGGGAGGGCTTTGTTCTACAGAAATTGGGGACAACTTGCACGAATACCCCCAATCACTGACTTTAATTGCTCGACGCTCTTACTGAAGGCTTCAGAACCCTCGCTAAGGTCTTTTTGACCGTCGGAAAAGTTATTTCATCTAGGTCGTCGGTGATTCACTTTTTGCCCCTCGGTAAAGCACTTTTACCGACGGTAGAGAGGCCTTTGGAAAAACACCCTTGGTAATTCACGCTTTTCTTGTAGTGTTTTTGAGTTTGTTTTTCAATTTGTATTTTAACCTTTTCATGTAGCTTCTTGATAAACTCCACTTTAGAAATACCTTCTTTATGAAGAAAAGAAGATGAATCTGGAAGAGGTAGTAGATCAAGAGGTGTGATAGGGTTAGAACCATAAACAACCTCAAAAGGAGAAAGATTAGTAGTCTTGTGGACTACTCTATTATAAGCAAATTCTATTTGAGGTACATGATCATCCCATATTTTATGATTACCTCTTAAGATTACCTGTAATAGAGTGGATAGAGATCTATTGACTACTTCGGTTTGCCCATCTGTTTGTGGGTGACACGTAGTAAAGAATAGTAGTTTAGTTCCTAGCTTGGCCCATAATGATTTCCAAAAATAGCTAAGAAACTTAACATCTCTATCTGAAACTATAGTCTTGGGTAAGCCATGTAATTTAACTACTTCTTTGAAGAAGGGTTTAGCTATATAGCTAGCATCATCTACTTTGTGGCAAGGTATGAAGTGAGCCATTTTACTAAATCAATCAACCACCACAAAGATAGAATCAAACCCCTTTGGAGTTCTTGGTAAACCTAGGACAGAGTCCATACTAATATCCTCCCAAGGGGTAGAGTCCATGGGGCATAACTTTGGATTTAGCTTGTAAACAAGCTATACAACTACACCAATGCTTTTGGATGTCTACTCTCATGTGTGGCCAAGAAAATTTGCTTTTTAAAAGGTGTAGAGTTTTATCAACTCCATGATGGCCCATGAGTCCTCCGCCATGACTCTCTTTTATAAGAAGCTTTCTAATGGATCCTTGGGGTATGCAAAGTTTTCCTTTGTTATAAAGATATCCCTTAGACAAATAGAATCCATCAAATGGCTTTTTAAGACAAGATGCAAAAGTAGATGCAAATGTTGGGTCATTTTCATAAGTTGTTTGATGTCATCAAAGCCTAAGATTTGTGATCCTAAAGTAACTAATAATGCATGGCGCCTAGATAAAGCATATGCAACAACATTAGTACTTCCCTTCTTATGTTTGATGACGTATGGAAATTGCTCAAGGAATTCAACCCACTTTGCATGTCTTTTGTTCAATTTGCCCTGCCCTTTAAGATACTTAAGAGATTCATGGTCAGTGTTAATAATAAATTCTCTAGATACCAAGTAATGCTCCAAAGTCTTTAATGCACGAATAAGGGCATATAACTCCTTATCATAAGTAGGATAGTTTAATGTTGGTCCCCTAAGTTTTTCACTAAAGTAAGCTATAGGATGACCTTCTTGTATTAGAACAACTCTTATTCCTACCCCTGAAGCATCACATTCTACTTGAAAAGCCTTGGAAAAATCTGGTAAGTGTGGAATGAGTGCATGTGTTAATTTATGCTTTAAGGTCTTAAAAGCTAAACTTTGTTTATCACCCCATTTGAATGGCACATCCTTCTTTACAAGCTCAGTAAGGGGAGCGACAATGGTAGAGAAGTTTTCTACAAATCGTCTATAGAAACCTGCTAGACCTAGAAAACTGCGGACATCCCCTAGTGTTTTCAAAACAGGCCATTCTTGGATAACTTTGATTTTGTCTGGATCAACATGAACACCATCTTTCCCAACTTTGAATCCCAGAAATATTACGCTTTCTTGACAAAAAAGTACATTTGTCAAATTTGGCAAATAAGTGATGTTGTCTAAGCAAAATCAAAACTTTCTTCACATGGATAATATGTTCTTTAAGACCTTTGTTATATACTAAAATGTCATCGAAGTAGATCACAACAAAGTTTCCTATGTATTCCTGAAGGACATGATTCATTAAGCGCATGAAAGTGCTAGGAGCATTGGTTAAGCCAAAAGGCATGACTAACCATTCATATAAACCAAACTTGGTCTTAAAAGCGATTTTCCATTCATCGCCTTCTTTAATACGGATCTGATGATATCCGCTTTTAAGATCAATTTTAGTAAACATGTTTGCCCCATGTAGTTCATCTAACATATCGTCCAATCTAGGAATAGGTTGCCTATACTTAACAATAATGTTGTTGATAGCCCGATATTCAGTACACATGCGCCATGATCCATCTTTGTTCGGAACTAACAACACTGGCACCGCACAAGGACTGAGACTTTTCTGGATCCACCCCTTGTTCAATAAAACATTGACTTGTTTCTCTATTTCTTTGGTTTCTGTAGGGTTAGTCCTATAAGCTGGCCTATTGGGAAGGCTAGCTCTAGGAATTAAGTCAATTTGATGTTCTATTCCTCGGAGAGGTGGCAAACCATTTGGAACCTCTATGGGAAATAAATCATCAAATTCTTTCAAAAGTTTTTGTAACCCTTTAGGCAGAGAATCAAGTTGATAATTTACTAACACAAGTGTCTCTTTGCAGTAGAGAAGAAAGTGAGGTTGTCCAAGGAAAAGATTTTTAGAGTGTTTCGAATGAACAACATCTTTGGTCGAGGCACGACCTACAAAACTCAAATTCTTCTCTTTTGACTCTTTTTGATTTTGACTTCTTTTTTCCGCATCCAACTTTTTCTTAAGTATTATTTGATCCTCTCTTACTTGTGAAGGTGTAAGAGGACTCAAAATAATCTTTTTACCCTTATGTTGGATGGTGATTTTATTAGTGACTCCATCATGCTAAGTTTGTTTGTCAAATTGCCAAGGGCGCCCAAGTAAAATGTGCCCAGCTTCCATTGGAACAATATCACAAATGATTTGATCATCATATTTGCCAATGGAGATAGGTACACTTACTTGTTCCTTTACTACTATCCCTTCATCCTCTTTTATCCATTGAAGTTTGTAAGGTTTGGGACAAGGAGTAGTAATTAAGCCTAGCTTTTCCACCATTCTACAGCTACAATAATTGCAACAAGAACCAGTATCCATAATCATAAAACAAGTTTTATCAAAAAATTTACAATATGTGTGGAATAGGTTTTGTCGCTGAGATTGTTCTAGCTCAACAGGCTTTGCTTCTAAAAGTCGTCTGACCATAAGTAAATCTCCATCACAAGGTGGAGCCTCATGTGCTTCGTTAGACATAGAGAGCTCAGACTCACTGGAGGAAGCTTGCTCACTATTTCTCTCATGCTCAAGGAAATAGGTGGACTTCTTAATTCGACACTCAGTAGAGTAGTGTCCTCTTTCCCCATACTTAAAACACCTAGTCTCCCTACCCCTGGAATTATGGGTGAGCTCTTTGTGAGTCTTTTCTCTCTCTGTTCCTTTTTCTCTTTCCTTTTCCCGTCTCAAATCTCTCTCTTTACCTTTGATTTTGTCCTTCTCTCTTTCCCTTTCTCTTGTGTTATCAAACCGCGGATAACTACCCTCCCTCTTAAGGTCTTTCCTATATGTGGAAGTGGTAGGATAGGTCCTCTTGGTGGAAGCTTTCCTTCGATTTTGTTCTTCCACTCTCACACATAGTTGGACAAAATCATTGAGATCTAAATAAGGTAAAAGTTGTACCTTATCTCTGATCTCATAATTAAGACCGCTTTGGAACCTAGCTATGGTGAATCTCTCTTCCTCTTTGATTCCAACTCTTAACATGAGGAGTTCCAACTTTTGTCTATATTCCTTAACACTCATGTTTCTTTCTTGAAGTCTATGGAGCTTGTCCATGACTTCTCTAGCATAGTAGGCTGGAACATGCCTCCAATGCAAGGTTGTCTTTAACTCATTCCAGTATTGGATGGTATAGTCGTCATGCATCTTTTGATCTCTAAATATGGCGGTCCACCAATAGAGGGCTGCACCTTGAAAAGTCAAGGTGGCTAGGGTCACTCTCCTCCTATCATTTATGTGGTAACACTCAAAAATTTGTTCAACCTTCATTTCCCACTCAAAATATTCTTCCACATTGTCTCTGCCATAAAAAGGGCGAAGGTCTAATTTGGGTTCCACATGATGGTCTCTATGATGGTGGTGTCTCCTACGAGGGTGTTGATAGTGATTATAAGGATGAAAACTATTGTGATCACTATGTTGGGAATGATCACCATGATCATGGTGTTGCCTATGAGAGTGTTCCTCATTAGTTTGTCCTCTCTGATTGAGAGTGAGGTTTGCAACCATCTGTCTGAGTTCATTTAACTCACCTTTAGTTCAATTAAGTTCCTCTCTCAAGTGCATAGTCTCCTGATCATGATGAATGGTACCTTGAACACTAGAGTGACTCATATTTATGAAGTAGAGAAAAGATTTTCACAAGAGTGTTGAAAGGCTTCACAAGTGTTGAGTCAAAAACTTTTCAAAGATTGTTTTTGGATTTTTGGTGAATGACTTCTAGATAGATTCTAAAGGTGAAGAAACTGAATAGCTCCCAGGAAAAAGAGGTGAGTCTCAACGGACAAGCTTAAAAACCTTGTCCTTCCTTAGCCAGAGTTTCTCCTGTCGCTTCTTACCCAAGTTTCAATGTAGAAGTCTTTCAAAAAAGTTTGGAATGCAACAATGAGATGCGCCTAGAAACCAAAAGATGGTTTATCTATAGAGCGCATTTGTTCACATAGCTCGTGAACCATCACATGTATATAAGCATATAATGCACACTCTCAACATCAATCAATATCCAAGAATCATCAAGCAATACTCATCATCAAGCATAAATCACAAGCAAACCATCATAATAGATAAAGTTTTGAATTGAGTACATCAAACCCTATTCTAAAAATAGAAGCAAATAAGTTCAACAGTCAAAACAAAAGATAAAAATCCTGCTCCAAAGGTGATAGCATCCATTAGTAGATGCTATCTCAGCTCCTCATCAACCCATGTTGTACTCTGAATCATCATCCTCTTCATCATCCTCAGCATCTTCAAACTCATCATCATCATCATCCTCCAAAGCAGAAGCTTCAGCTGCTCCAGCTCCACTGCCCTAGGCTTCCTCCTCTGGCCATGCAACCACATTATGAAACTCATCCATGGTCCACCTATGTGCTAGGGGTGTATCTTACATCCCAATAATCATCTCAGTTGTGGCCACCTGCACTCTGTGAATAGACTGCATCTGGGCATCAATAAGAGACATATACGTATCCCTCATCTGAAATGGCTCTGCCTCATGAGGCTCTCCAGATGCCTGGCTCTATGGTGGTCCTCTCGCTCTGCGAGGACGGAGGGGTGGTACTAGCTTAGCTACCTCATCACCTCCACAATACTGTCTGTAATAGGCCTCATCAATAGCTTTCCTAGGCCTCTCAAATGATGGTGCAGAGATATATACCCCAGCTAGCTTACATAAGTGTGTAATCAAAGAGGATGCCCCAGAGGTGCTTTGTTGTTTATTAGTGTTGGCACATACTTGTATTTCATTAGCTATGACCTGGCCAATGTTTATGCTCAGCCCTCTGAGCACACAGTACAAGAGAAGCGCCCTGTTGACAGTTATGTTTGAGACATGTGAGCATAGCTGAATGTTGGCATGAGAAAATGCCATCCAATACTTTGCTAGAGGAGTCAGATCAACTCTCCTGATGTTCACTACAACAACATTCTTGTTTCTCTGAAAGTGTCCACCAGGCACACATAGCACACTTTCCACATCACCAAAGTCTGCTCCTTCTTCCATATTGAGAGCAAACTGACATTGCTCACCAGCCCATTCAGTATTTAAGAATCTATTAATGGAATCAGGGTCATACCGAATGACGTGTCCTCTTACATAGCTCAACTAATCCTCAGTAGGATGATCACCCAACCTTCTTGCATTGGTGTAAAATTCTTTCACCACTGCTATGTTAGCTGGTGTAGGGTAAGTGGCTAGTCTCCCCCAGTTCCTGTTCTCCAATTGCTCCCCAAACTGTGGAGCCAAGTCAGGTATCAATCCAGCCTTCCTTTCCATTTAAAGCCTCATATCTTGGACAACTTTGAAGTGGCGTTCATGCTTGCAGCAAAGGAACTTGTTGGCATAAAAGCGTTTTGGTTCCTTATCCTTCCTCTTGGATCCTACAATCTTGATCCTCTTGCCCGATGAGGAGCCCATCCCTACATCAAACACAATTCACAAAACCACAAGACATAGTGTTAAGCATTACTGAACCCCAAACAATACTCTTAAGATCAGTCCTATCACAGCTGAGGGCAATCAAAACCCCTCAGCACAACCTGTGCATCAAACCAACAAGTTACACATTATGCCAGAATCGCGTTCAGGGGTAATTTCCGCTGATTGACGATTTTGCAGATTTTTCAAAATTGCTTTTAAAAACATCCTAATCTCCACCCACTTGCAATCTTCCTAGTTCCAGACCCAAATCAAGCATTTTAATCTTTTTAAACATCAATTAATTTATCTAATCATGCATAGAAATCAAAATCCCTAAAGAATCATGCTTAAACAACCATGTTCATATCAATTCATGCTTTTAAGAACCCTAGAATGAAAATGCTTGAACTTACTTGGGTGGAGATGCTAGATGAGTGAAAAATGCTCTAGGAATGTGAACAAATCAGCCCCCAACAACAATGCTCTCACCAAACCCCAAACTTGGATGGAAACCTAGTTCAAAAGTGAGTGGAAGGGAGGTTTTGTGAAGGGGGAAGAAGGAGAAAGTAAGGAGAACTCTTTGAAGAGTGTTTGAGAGTGTGTGGGAAGAGGGAGATCTGAAAATAGAAGAAAAAGCATGCCCTAGGGTATAAAAATACCCAAATGGGCCTAATCCCGCTGAGCCCAAATGAGCCAAACCAGTCCACGCAACTCTCCAGTAGTGTCGCTCCGCAGAAATTTCCGCTGAGCGGCATTTGCGCCACCTCTTTTCCTTCTTCCTAGCTTGCCCTATGTGTCTTATAATCATGCCTCTCACTCACCTTATGCATTTATGTTCTCACATCACTCAAACACTCCATCCCTATCATGCATCTAAAGCAGAATCAAAACAAACAAACACAAATAAAGTAAATCAACTGGATTGCCTCCCAGGTAGCGCTTGTTTAATGTCACGAGCCTGACCCAATATCCTCCAGCACCCTTCAGTAAGTGCAAACCTTTCTTACCAACACCCATCAGTAGGTGTAAAGAAACCTAGTATCCTTCAGTAGATACTCAACCACCTAGCATCCATCAGTAGATGTTATACCATAAAATCTCAAACAACATAAATCAATGTCCATAGTTTATAAAATTACATAACCAAAATAAAAAATCAATGTTCTGAAATCACTGGGGTGCCTCCCAGTAAGCGCTCTTTTAACGTCATTAGCTTGACCCAATAAAGTTCAAGTTCCGTCTTCAGTGTTGGTGTTCCTTTTTCTTTCATCACACCAACTCATCAATTGCTTCCGGTCCACCTTTTTTACTCTCCTTGAATATGGAGCTTCAATCTCTATCACTCCATTCTCTTTATAGTCTTTCACAACCCACAACTTGTTCTTGAATCTTACAGGTGTGCCAAGTTTGAGTTGTTCCTTCATCAAGTCATTATGAACCTTCCTTCCTTTGCCATCTTTTTCTTCTTTCCTAACCTGTGACAAAAAACAATTTTTACCTTTGAAGCCCAACTTTGCAGCTTTTGAAGTAGTCAAGGGTGCATCTTTACATGCAGCTTTATGACTAGCCTCCTTCTCTTTAATATACTGCTCCCCTTTGAAGACATTAAAGATCACCTTCTCTCCTCGGTCTTGAAGCACTATCATCCCTTCATCCACATTGATGATTACCTTTGTCGTTTTCATAAACGGTCTTCGAAGAATGATTGGGACCTCCTCATCCTCCTTCATCTCCATCACCACAAAGTCCACTAGGAATTTTAATGTGTCAATGCACACCACACCACAGGGCTTCTTTAAAGATCCATCTGCAATTAGCAAGGTTACCTTTGTTGGCTTGACTTCAAGATCACCAATTCTTTCAAGCAGAGATAAAGGCATCAAATTAATACTTGACTCTAAATCAATTAAGGCTTTCCTTATTTTCTCCTTCCCTATGACGTAAGGAATAGTAAAGCTTCCTGGATCCTTCACTTTTGGAGGAAGTGGCTTCTTCTCAATAACACTACAATCTCCCTTTTCATGCATCTGTTTCACAATATTATGAACAACAACCTGTATATCAGCATCATGTATCATCTCAGCTGGCCAAGAAGATGGAAGATAAAGAGGAAAAGCAATTTGGGGCTAACACGGAGGTTAAGGAAGAATGTAAAGCTATTGTGAGTATACATGATGAGAGGGTGGATGAGAAAAAAAAAAAGAGTTGAGTTAGAAAAGAAAGAAGAAAAAGAAGAGAGAAAAGGTGAGGTTGAGAGAAAAGAGAAAGAAAAGAAGAGGGGAAAGAAAATTTTTGAGGAAAATGAAAAAGTTCTTCCTTATCCTAAGAGGCGTGAGAAAATAGAGAAAGAGAGACAATATGAGCGTTTTAAACAGATCTTCAGGCAATTGGAGATTAATATACCTTTGACCAAAGCACTGCAGCAATTTCCTGCTTATGCAAAGCACATGAAGCAATTTCTCACGAAAAAGAGATATTTAGATGAGGAGACTATGGATGATCAGGGAGATTGCAGAGCTATTTTGGAGAAACCACTTCCTCCAAAAGTGAAAGATCTAGGAAGTGTAACCGAATCGTATCAAGTAATAATAAATGGTAAGACGAAGTATCGTTTCCCAAAGGACTCACGACCTAAACAGTTATGTGATTTGTTTATTAAATAAGACTTGTAAAACAAATTCTTGTAGTTCAAATGCAAATGCCGAAAAGTAAATATGAATGTATGTATTGATCAATTGGATCAAAAGAAGAAAAATGTGATTGAAATATATAATGATAATGTTGTTGGGGATTTTCAATTCATCCTATCCACTCTCATGTATTCAAGAATTCATCTTTCTTCATTAATGTTAATGCCACTTTCTAAATTACCTTAAACCCAATGTCTTGGTGAAGAAAGCCTACTCTTAATCACTAGTTTACAATGTCTTGTCTCCCTAGCAATTATTCATGCATTACATTCGCACAGAAGCTTAAAGGCAACCAATCCTCCTATTCCTATGTCTAGGCAATATTACTATTGGGAGAATTTCTTCATGTCTAGATTTACCTATATGTGTCCATACAAATAAAATCAATGATCAGGCAA